CGCCGCCGTCGCCGCCTCCTCTTCGAAACACAACGTAATCATCGGTATCGTAATCGAACGATTTCTCTCCATCATTCTTACCTAGAGAAGAAAAACGCGCACGCACGCACGCCCGTTCGCCCCAGCGGAACATTACCTAGCTGCTGTGTATCGATTAAACGCTCACCTTGACACAGGTTCTTTCCACAAAGTTGACCGTGTGTGAACCCTCGCCGTTGAACTTTACAATGCCGCGACCACATACAATGCACAGACAATATTATTCTTGCCCTTCGATCAGAAAACCAACGAAATATTTCGAGGGGACGCGAATTTTAACTGTTTCAGAGCTCTACTTTCCACAGTCGGATCTGACCGTGCGGATACCGTACCTTCCGTCCCTAACATCTTCGTGGAACTTGAAATTGCTCGAGCTGAGGACGCTTCGGAACGACTCGACGGATCCGAAACGCGCAAATTATCGAGTGTCCCGCGAACAGATCGCTTCGATAGATCCCGAAACCGATACACTGTTGTTGCACGCTCCCCCTAAACAAGGTAAGCTTTCGAAAGTTTTAGAGGTGTCCTCGGACCAACGTGTTATCGCGCGCGTGTGTCTGTGTCGTTGCTTGCAAAGGATCAAATGGATTCGATACGATCGTGGTCCTGGCCAAGGAAAATAGCAGTAACGAGGCGGTGTTGGAGATAAAGGTGAAACCGTTGCGCGTAGACAGCAAGCAAATTAACTGCACCGATTACGTTCAGGTAATTAGAAGAGATTTGCTTGTTATTCCCAACTCGATACCGCATCCTCTTTCTCAACGCGATACCTATCGTTTCACACAGGACATGTGCTTTTGGAACGCGTCCAAGTACAGGATCTACGAGAATCAACCGGTCGCGATGATCGGTACCTTCGGACCTACCCTTTACACCGACATCTGTCCAAACTTTCACGTCACAGACTACAAGCTGTTGAACGGCAAGTGTGATTGCAACTTGCGACCGATTTCAGATAGAACGACTGTTCGTTTGTCCTTTAGGTACCGAATACTTTCACGTGGCGGACGGCTCGCTGTTCGCGAACCCGTTTTTAGACAGAGACGCGTCCGGTCCAGCACCGGCCGGGCCTGGTCCCCGAGTCAGCGTTCAAGTTCAGTGCATAGTCTGGGAGGAGATGACCGGGACACAGTACGCCCCGATCAACACGTTGCAGGTCGATGTCTTGGATCAGGACGACAATCCGCCAATGGCGCAGGGGAACGCCTCTATCGCCATTACGCTTCGCGAGTTTACCACGGTGAGTGGTTTGTCTAGTTAACTTGTGTAGTTAACGCGTCGCGGACGATGCTTGAAGAATCGGACTTAATCAGCGGCGCATTGTTCCCGCCGTCGCGCGGCATTGTTTCGCGACGCGGAAGCGACG